TGGTCAAGTCCCTTTTAATTGTACTTACCTCACCCTGGCTTCAGGCTCAAGTGGGAGTAGTTCAGTTGAGTTCAGTTCAGTGGGTGCATTATTGTGATTTAACTGGAGAGGGGAGACAAAGTTCCATTAGCTTGAGCTCATCCAGCATACTCAGCTCTTTTTCAACTCCTACTGTGTACCCACCACAAAGACAAGTTTTGCTGAACATTAATGTGTTCTGTCCATTATAAACCATTATTATATAACGCTGTTATTTTCTTTAAATTTTTTATCTTTAAAGTTATCTATCCTTAGAAATAAGAGAAGAGTGGAATATACTTTAATCGTATTTAGTGCTTTCAGTTTAGAAAAATTTTGTTCAGGTTGTTTTTGTTTCACTGGACAACTTCTAACTTTCATTTATTAACGAAAAAGATTTCTTGTAAAAATAGTGAAATATGGAAAAATTGTGTTACAAGATACAGTTCTATACTATTCAAATTTCATTCTATTTTGCATTTTATACTTCTTTTTTTTTTTTTTTTTTTAAGTGACTTTCTTAATCTTTTGCTTGATTCATTGATTTAATGAGTTTTCAGTGATATTCTTTGTTGCAGCTTTGTTCAACAGGTGAATAATTATTGTTCTTATTAGGAATTAAAAAACAATTTATAATCTTATATATAAACAACAATTTATAAATATTTTTAGCAATAGAAAATGGCTTGCTTGCTATTGGAATTTAACTTTTTCTGAATGACCTCTAAAAAAAATTATTACTAACAAAAATAATTTTTCTAAATGTTTGTCAGTTTTTATGAATAAAATATATCGAATTCAACATTTCCTATTTAGAAAAAGAAAAAAAAACTGTAAATAATTATTTTTCTCTTTCTTCTTTGACCCCATTCCTTTTTGTTTTTGTTTTTTTTCTCAAGGAGTCAAAATCAGGAAAATTATTTTTATTTTGTAAGCTAAATACAAGGCACAAAAAAACATTTTATAAGGGCATTTTCAGAACTAGTTTTCACAGCTACTCATTCTAACAGCCTTTCTATATATAACACCGGTACATTGGACAATGTATAATGTCTGGATATTTAAGTGTGCTTTATAGTCTAGTTAAATATGGTACTCAATAAAAATAAAAAAAACAACATAAGAAAATTGTCTTGCCTTTTAAAAGCGCAAAATCTCTAAAATGTTATTTACTTTTTCTTACATTAGAAACTATAATTGCAATATACAATATAGTAGTAAGTAGAGTGACAAAGGATTAAGTACTGGGTATAAATTTTGCTTGGTGTTAATCTGTGTTTGCTTTAATTATCTATACCATTGCAATTTGGTATTCTCTGAAGAGCATTTTTGTTTCACTTAAATTCATTGCTTCTGTATAAAAAAAACATAATGTAATGATAGAGCTTTGAAACCTACATACAACCTTAAGATGTTAATCTTTTTATTTTTTTAACTGTTTAAATAGACACTAATGGATAGGCAAAGGATTAATGTGTGTCTGAACATTGTCATTAGAAAACTAAAGTCACGAAATAATTACATTTATAGTTACTGCTTTACTACTGTAATCCCATTTGAGTTAACTCATCTGTTTGTACCTTAAGTTTTTTTTCCCCTTTTTTTTCTTGCTATAAGAAAAGCCAGTTAACACTCTAAGATCTTAGTGTTTAGTTTTGTTTGAGGTAAAGAGATGATTATCTTGAATTTCTGTGGTTTTTTCATCCTTCATGGTTAACTTGCACCTAAAAAAGACTAAATATGTATGTAAATTCAAATTCCATTCAAATTTGTTGGGAAAGGTATGAATCCATCTCTTCTCCTCCCACATATGGGTTAAATAGCAGAGTAGACTGGGCTCATTCCCCACAGCCTGAGCCACAAATGGGGATGTTGGCTAGTAAAACCCTAACTTGAGTAGCCCTTGAGTTTTTTACAGGGTAAACATCAGAGGAAAAAAATTGATACATATATAGAATACAGAATATAAAAACTGAAGTGCATAACTACTGCTGGTGTTATATTAGCCAGGATTGTTGTAAAAGTAACAACTCTTTCTTTTTTCTTTTTTTCTTAGCAGTAAAAAATAAAAAAATACTGTAATGGTTAGCACCTTACAATGAGAAATCTGAGAACTGAGTTTGAATTCCAATCAAATTAGTTTCACTCACTTTCACAGGAATACCCTTGGAAAAGGTATGATTCAATCTCATCTTCTCTCTTCCCCAGCTATAGGTAAAATAGCAGCACAAATTGGGTTCTCTAACTTTGGTTGGCAACCAGTCTAGAGGGAGGATAACTCTGAATTCAAAAACTTGCTTGCTATGGAAACTTCAGCAGCAACACCTGGTGTAATGAGGCTGTAGCAATATACTCCACCTGGCACTTGTGCTTTGGCCCTGTTGCTGGGGGCTATTACAGCTATGACTAGCTTGGACTGGCTCGGGTCTGGACCAGCTTGGACCAGCAGCCCGAGTGAAAACACTCAGGGTTCCCGCGTTAAAAACTGACCTTGTGTCACAACCTTCTTAGTGCCATTAGACTCTCCTATAGAGTATATATTTACTTGAAGTAAATATCTACTCCACAGGAGTCTAATGACACTAAGAAGGTTGTGGAGGTGGAGGGATTAGAAAAAAAAACTCATTAGATTTAAAGACCAATCTTGTGCATTTGAGAAGCAGGCATGGCATTCAAAAGCATTTATTAGGTTTAAATCAATTTATTTTTTAATAGGATTATTCCTTGATAATAATAAAGGGAATATCTTAAAAGAAAGAATTGTCTGAATTTTCAGTAGAATGCAATTGCGCTAATTCAGTTTAAGTTCTTGCCTAAAGATAATACTTTTTTTTAATCTCTAAAAAATGAAGGCTTTCTCTCAAATTGAAATTTTTGTTTTATTCATATTTTTTTTTCCATTAATATTATCCACCAATTAAACTTGTAACTAAATATAAATATGACTTTAATGTATTTGTAAAGAACTTGATTAGATGACTTCTCTCTCTCTCTCTCATTATGCTACTGCATATGTGTATGCACACACACATACTTACACATGTGCAAGTGTGCTGAAAAGTTCTCTAACCAGTCAAGAAAGATTTTTTAGCACTTCCTCATATATATATATATAATATATTTTGTATGTGCTCACACAAGCATATGAAATTTAGAAATAAAATTAACTGTTTTTCTTCAGGGGGTATAATGAGAAATAATTTCATTTTAAAGTGAATAAGCTCTAGATAAAAAGCATTTTTGTCAAAATATTTTGACTTAAAACTGAAAATTTATTTTGTTAATGATCAAATAAAAATTCAAAAATAAAAATTCTGATTTAATGTCTCTATCATTGAGGAGCCATCTATCGTGTTTTTACACTTAATTTTGGGAGAGTATATTTGTTGCTATTTACCTAGCTTAGATTGTCATAAGTTTTGAGGTACTCAATGACAATCGAACTCGCTGGTCAGCCAGATTGGCTCGCTAGCCATTATCCCATACCCATTCATCCACAGTATTTGGGTTAATTGCACTTTAAGAATTAAATTCTGCTTTTTAAGGGAGATAACTCTGACTATAAAATCGCCACTTCGTTAAAACGTTTTATCGAAAAATAAATCAGGTTTCGATTAATTTTTAAGATTTAACAACTTATTTTTTGCTGAATGTCCTACTGTTGGATTTTTTACGATATTAATACGTTACAAACAGTATTAGTAAATTATATAGTAGTAATAGCAATGATTAAAACAACTGCTCCTTCATGCACTTTCTAACCATTATCAATATCATTCTCTAAAAACAGATTTCATTCAAGCTTGTAAATTATTAGATTGACGCTCATTAATAATCTCTATCCAATCATTTTCTTTAAATTTTAGTAGCATTGCTTTTTGTCCTTGGCTTTACTAAACTTAAGATTTTCATTATTTCACTTTACACCTAGTCTTCTGATTACTACTGGTACTACCATTTTACAATCTTTTAATATTGCTTAACCCAATGCGGGTACATACTTCAGGTATCTCTAACATGGAGCCTGTAAACAATGTAGAAGACTTAAGGAAAATGAAAACAAAAAGGACACTTCTACCCAGAATCAGAAAGAGACAGCTGAAATTTCTTAGACATACATAATGAGGAAAGAGGGCTTGAAGCATTTGACACTCACAACCTATCAGAGGCAAGAGAGACAGGGGAAGGCAAGCAGGCCACATACCTGATGAGCATGTGTGAATGGATGGCTAAACGGATGTGGGTGCTTGGCAAAGGGACAAATGTTGCTAAGAGCTATAAGGAATAGGATGTTGTGGAGAGCAATGATCCCTCCCCGTCCTGAATGCACACATCACATAGAAGTATTTGATTCCAAACTTTTCTTTGATGCTAAACCAAGCTTTTGAAATTAAGTTTTAAAAAGCAAATAATATGGCTATAACAAACATTCTAAAGTACAGCAAATCATAACATATGCAAGAAAATCATTGACATATGGAAAAGCGACACTTCCTACCAGTTGGGAATTTTTATACAAAATTTACATAATTTCCTTTTGTTGATAAAACTTGTGGTATCAAGTGTCAAAAACAAGACCCTGTAGACACTTATTTTTTTTTTTTTATTGCTTTTTTTAGAACATGGTCCCTAAATGATCTCTGTTATGCTGTATCAGCTGATATTTTTCAAAATCCAAGATTGGAAACAGTAAGTGAAATATATAATCTCTCTCTCTCTCTGTTTATTTCTTTGTTTTGAAAGAAGTCCATTATAAAATAGCATTCATAATTGTATATATATCTTTGTAATGGTGCATATATGACGAAATGCATATCCCTTATTTGAATGTAATATATTCTTTAATCAAACAATAACCAATGTTTATTAATAATATATATATATATATATATATATATATATATATATATATATATATATATATATATTTATTTATTTATTTATTTTTCCTTTTAATAGATGTTAAATAAACTAATCCCTGTATGATTATAAGTCCTTTGGACTGCTTCTGGGATGGAGCGAAATTATTAGGACCTGAACATCCTTTACCTATTGGGTAAGTAATTCTAAATTTTACTCATTTTTAATCTGTGTCTGTTGCATTGAATTGCTGTCCCATGGCTATAGCATGCCAGTGACCCACACTCTTAATGTATTGCATTTCTTTGAACTTATGGTTCCTAACTCTTGAACTCTTTGAACATCGCAACAAAGATTAGAACAACAGTCCAAACAATTTAAATAGTGTAAATAATTGCAATACATCATCTCAGAAATATAGACAGTTATATACTTATATTCGGAAAGATGTATTTCTTTTTCAGATAAATGAAATGCTTGCAATTCCTAATTTTCCAATGTGACCATTCATCTGTAACATCTCTTTATATTTCTCTTTGCATATATCAGAAAATTCAACCAGTTAAAAAAATATGCTTAAGAATATAATATTTTCAATATCCTTGCTGCTATTTTTTTGTGTATAAAATTCAGAACCTTTCAAAAATTATAATCAATGTTAGAGCAATTTATGAGGCAGATTCTCTGAGAGATTTCAAAGTCTTGTTATGGTGTCTGTGTATGTTTAATTCACATCAGTTACCTGAACATTTTTCCTCATAAACAGCTTATTTTGATTTTATTTCCTTGTCTAAAAGTGTCTGAGACAAATTTATAAAATAACAATAAATAGGTTTGTCAATTCTGTTATGTTATAATAAAGAACATGAAGATATATATTCATAAAACACACACACACACACATTTATTCTGAATCTTATGACACAAACACACACACAATATTTTTCTGGGTCTTATTAAAAACATACCAAATATGCATGTTACTTAAAGTTTAATGGCAATAAATGATTGGTTTATTGCCATGAAACTTGGTGTAACATGTGTGCTTGATACATTTTTAATAAGATCCAAAGAAACAATATATGCACTGTATTTGGCTCTGTCTAAAGGATACTGAGCACTGTATTAAAAAAAAATCAATGATAACTTGCATTTGGTTCAATTGTATTTCAGTTGAATGTTTAACAGAGTGTGTGTGTGTGTGTACACAGAGAATTGAAAATGACAGTTTTTAATCTTTCAAATTCAATAAAGGACTGGTAAAGAGTTGTCCTTTTCAATAAAAGATAGTTGGCAACCCTAAGTATAGATGTACTTCACCATTGAATTTGAGTAATGAACTTAAAAAAAAAAAAAGAAGCAAAACTTGAAAAATGTTCTTGTTAATGATCAACCTTTATTTCCTTTCATTTGCTTGATTTACCTACTATTGCATAATGACTTTTAAAAGTATGTTTTCTTTATTTCCCTCATATTGTGAATATTAATCTTTTTTATAACTTTAAAAGCCCATGCTGCTAGAAGCTTAAGTGATTTCTTGCAATATGAAATAAGTAAAAAATATTTTTGCGGTCTATGAATCAGTTTGAGTCAGACTGGTGGTGAAAATTATCTGCTATTTTAATTATTAGAATTTTAACCATTCTAAGAAGAAAAAAGGGAAAAAAGAAAATAGTTTTAGAGTTATTTGTGTTTAAAGCAGGAAAAGTGTGTGTGTGTTCGCTTGCCAAATCTTTCTTACTTCATAGTTCTCTCTCCTACTACTTCATTCTCTTTTACTCTCACTACAACTTATCTTTATCCTCCTACTCCTTGTTACTTCAACTCCCACCATTACCCCCCACCCCTAACTGTGTGTCTACCTACCTAACTTCCTTCCCCCAGTTGGTCCCTGTCTGAGTAATACATCCTGTTGTAGCCAGCAGCTGAAGGGGTGGATGCTATCTACCATTGTGCTTTCTTAATGGGTGGTCTGTCCTTATAAACAGGCACTGCTATTCTCTGCTACTGCACTTGAAAAAGAATACCTCTTACTGCCATCCTGGGCATCAACCTTCACCCTCACTAATACTTGCAATTGCCCCACTCTTTTTTTTTTTTTTTTTTTTTTTTTTTTTTGGGGGGGGGTATACATTTCCTAGGTTCTGCAAGATCCAGTAAACCACCCCATGCTTTTTCTTTTCTAACAATTTTTTTTTTTATTTCTTGGTTTTTACCTTCTGCTTTTTTTTTTTTTTTCTTCAGTGCTAGCATAGAGTGCATCTGTTTCTCTCTTTTCTTCCCATTTCTCTTTCTTTTTCAGCTTCTTTTAAGCCCTCTTCCTTAAAGCCTTCTTCTTTAACCTTAAGTCCTACATGGGGGGTGGTGGAGGAGGTGAAGGCAGAAAGGTCTGTTTGTTATCTTAGTTTATGCTAGCAATAAACAAGTCTTGTGATTTTTTTTTTTTTTTTTTTTTTTAATCTACCTGCCACCTTTTAAATATTCTCTCTCTCTCTCTCTTCTACATTTCTCTTTCTCTCTTTTTTCTTTTCCCTTTCATTCTTCTTTTTATTCTATTTCTGCTTTTCTTTTTCTCAGTCTCTCACTCTCCTCATTCTGTTTTTTTCTCTTTGCCCTAGTTTCATCTTTCTCTAATGCACTCTTTTGTTCCTTTTCTCTTTCTTTCCCATTCTACACATACACACACAAACACATTACAAACTTTTGTCTCTTCTCCCCTTTTCTCAAAAATATTCCTTTCCTTCACTTGATTTTTTTTCCCCATTTTCTTCAACTTTAGCCTCTATTTCAAGCCTCTCTGTGTAATAAACATTAATTCATTCTGAGTGATACATATGTCTGGACTCACATCCTTTAAGTGTGTGTTGATGTCACTTTTATATCTTTTTTTCCTGTTAATGAATTCCTTTAAAAAAAAAAAATAGGAAAAAAAACTACCCCCCCTTTTTTTTGTAGTCCTTATAAAAGGCATTCACCCCAGCATCCTCAACACCAACCAGCCAGTCAGTCTGGTTTCTGGTTCTCTTACCACCAACAGATCTAGACATGCTGAGGAATTCCATTGACTCTATCTTAACAGCCGTATTCCCACTGTTTTCCACTTTAAGCCACTACCAAAAGTTTGTTTGCCTGCTGAGCCCAACTTTAGCTTAGTGAATTAGACAGACCCAAGAAGCCTTTTAGTTCAACTTTGAGCTACAAATACATTCTATAAACACGCACACAGAATCTTTTATAGATTCTCATATAGCTCGTCTGTCTGGTACTTCAATATAACACTTAAAATTTCTAACCCAGGTTCTTTAAGTTCACTTAATCAGTATATAAACAAATAAAATAAAAATGTTATTGATATTTACTCGGTAGACTCAAAATTATTGCTTTTGTTGGTCTAAGGGAAATAATCAATTTCACTTTTCAATTATTTTATAACAAATTAATGTTACTTTTACTTAAGTAAAAAGCAAATTATAGCCTTTATTTACCGATGTGATATTAAAAATTGCCAATCGGATATCGAATATAAAACTCTAAATCTTGTAGTTCTAATGATAAATTTTTGTAATAATTTACAGTTTGGATACTAAAAAATTTTACAACTATGTTGAAAAATAGTTTTGCCTTGAAAATTGAAGTCTTCTAAAACTTCATTAGTCTATTTTGTCCTTATATCACTGCATTTATTGTCATCTTTGTATTGAGAATTTATTTTTCTCTTCTTTTCTGTAGGTTTTATGCAAGTGATGTTTTGTGGACCAATTTAAACCCCAAAGAAATGGTAGAAAAATTATTAAAATTTTCAGAAAAAGACGTAGTATTAGAAGTGATGGAACGGGTAAGTACAATTTTCACTATTATAAACATCTTTGTGATTAACCTTTTCCTATTAATTATACAATGCTTAATTGGTCATATATGGCTACAATGGCAAATCTGTCAATATCAGGCTTTCAATAAAATATTGATTATACATTGGTAAATTGCCATAAGATACCAGAGAAAACGGATTTTAATAAGATAGAAAATGAGTTTAAAAGATGATGGTAATTTTGGCATTTTTTATTTTATATTTTTAAATATAAAAACTTAGACAAAAAAAGCTTCACAAATAATACTGTAAATATTGAACTAAGATATTTTTGTTTCTTCATCATATAAGAAAACAACTGACAGGGGTATTAGCAGTTACAGTTGTATCATGTTGAAACACCAGTTCTCATTTGATCACTAAAGTTAAGCAAAGTTGTGTCTGGTCAGTACTCAGATGGGTAACTGCTGGGGAATACCAGATACTGTAAGCTATGTGACAGGCCTAGCAAATTGGTGATGGGTACTCTTTCACTATTTATACTAACATAAGACCTTGATATATAGAAGTGCTTCTGGACTGACAGGTCACAAGACCTACCTGAAGTTGGGTGACTAAAAGATAGAAGCATTAGCCAGTGTCTTATTTGTTATTAGGATTTTAAAATCCTCATCTGCCAGTACTGTGTTCTAACCATTGAGATATACATACTAATGCTAAGAAGTAAAGTTGAGTTTGTTGCTTTATCCAGTGGGTGGATTTATGACTTGAATTGTACCAGTTCATTATTCTACTTTCCCAGACACACTTAAGTACATGTGTGTAAATTTCCCAAATTTAAAGAATAAAAGTTTACTAAGATTAATCTTCTTTTTTTTTTTTCTTGGAGTCTCCTGTGAATTGATCTACAAGTCTTGAAAACAACTCTTCTATTCTCTGCCTGGAAATGAAATAAAATAAAAATAAAAAGAATCATTGGTAAAATAAGAGACAGAGAAAGAGAGTAAGAGCTATGTACATAAGAGAGGCTTGGGCAAATCTTTCTTCCCTACTCCCCAACCTATGGTCTTCCACATCCAGGCCATTACTACCCCACCTCTTTGACTGCTCCAAAGTTTCTTGGCTCCTCCAAGCAAGCCTGACATGTTGTTTATTCTAGCAGGCTTCTGATGATAACAGCCTCCTTGCCTTTGTTTATGCAATAGCTTCCCTATTTCCTGTTGTAATTTAAGTGTTCTACAATCTTGAAGGAAAGTACAGTGGCCTCATCAATAAATGTTTGGGGAGAAGTATCCCTATATAGGGGTGGATGAAGTGATGGTATGTAGTGGAATATCTAGGGTGGCAAGGGCTATTCTTGCTAAGTCATCAGTACTATTAAAACATATTCTACTGTCATCTTTTTTGCGCACGAATGACCATCTAAAAATGTTATTTTCTCCATTATTTATACACACACACATTTAACATTTAAAAAGTTACTTTCTGATATTTTATTTGGTTTGGCTACCATTTACCAGGCACACAGTCCTCGAGTAGTCAACAACTTAAATAATACAGTTGAGTAAATAGAATAAGCCTAATTGACTAAAATAGTGATACAAACTCATCCCAATATTTTGACAAGTATACCTCAGGCCTCATTTAAAAATCAGATCACTGTAACTGAACTATCATTGCTACTTTACTGTTAACTGTAATAAGGTTAAATATAATTGCTTATTGAACGTAGATCTAGTACAATAATAGATAAGGTTATCTTATTTAAATAATTAGGTTTTCTTTTTAATTAATTCTTTACTACTGTAATTATCAGCACTGTATGTGTTTAAATCAATTCCATTTAGTCAACTATTTTATTAAAATGTCTTCTCCCAGGAACGAGAACCCAATAAATGGTAGTCAAACCTTTTTTATTTAGTATGCTTTTCAAATGTTACATGTTTGTTCTCAAGCAAATGATATTATCCTTTTCTCAATTTGTCAACAAATCTCCTGGGATGTTTTCATTTTTATCCTTTGATCTGAGTTTTTCTGATATTTACATTTTGCTGGAACAAGGAAACTCTAAAAATTAGAAAACCAAAAGAAGTAATAGAATTTTTAACTTACCTTAAGTTAAAATGTAACCACATGCACATGCACACAAGGGTGGAGATAACCATTATGGTTAACAGATAACTAAAAGAATTAGCTACTATAACATAAAAATAAAGAACAGTACAGAACCCATCATCAATTTGAAAAAATACATTTGAAAAAATGTGTATAAATAAATAGCAAGCTATATATATATATATATATATATATATATATATATATATATATACATACATACTTTCTTGTAAATATTGTAAATTTCATAAAGCCCATTTTCTTTCTTTGCTTTTTTTCTAGGCGGGAATATCAAGTGGTTATTTAGAAAAACCTTGTCTAAATCCTCATGACCCTCTGTGTCCAAATAAAGCACCAAATAAAAAATCTGGAATGGTAAGGATTAACATTTCTTTCTATCTTAAACAAATTTCCTGACCTTGGGTTTCATAAACATTTTATTTCTATCTTCAAATAGAAATAATGTGCCATAAATTTGATGACAATGTAATTTTTAAAAAAATTGCAACAGGAGAATAATTTTAAAATGGTTCAGTTGTTTTTCATACATACATGGAAAAAGATAGTCACAAATATTGGTTTATTATTATATTGTTGCTTACATCTCTACTGCGAAGAGAACTTGTCATATAACCATTCATAGGAACAGATGTTAATATTCATACCAATAAAATGTAAGATTCTCTACGATTGCTCTGTAATATCTTTTATTTTCTTCAAGTTTCATTGCACATTTAAAATGGGGAGAGGGGTCAACATCATTTTTGAAGAGTGATTATTTTTTTGTTTTTCTTTTGATGGACCAAAAAAAACAATTACTTGTGTCTGGTTATTGAAATACTGCTCTGTTGCTGCTTTTGCCACCAAATCATTCAAAATTTTCCTCTGTTTCAAGATCTTTTGATATTTGGAAGCAATAGTCAAATGAGTAAGATTGGATGGTCTGTTCACTCAAACAGCAAATTCTTCAAAACATCTATTGCTTTGCCTGCCTCCTGAACAGGTGAATTGTCTCAAAGAAGTTCCTCAGATTTAACACCTCCTTTAATTGGCATAGCAAGTTAGGGTAATCATTACTGTTTGGTCCTTCTGAAAGTCAGCTATTTATTAGCCTTCTTGTTTTCAAAACCCATAGTCGTAACCTTTCTTGCTGATTTTTGTTGTATCCTGAATTTCTTTGGTCATCAACAACTCTGACTAGACTTTTGTTTGGTCTCTGGTTCCTAATGGTGCAATCATGTTTCATCAACAGTGGCAAATCATTCCAAACAAAATTATCAGTAGATCACGGAAAACTCAGATATCTACTCCATATCATTTCTGGTTTCATGGATAGCCTTCTTTCTTCTGCAAGCAACTTCATGACATTCCAAAGTTCAACACTTGAAAATTCCACAATTTTTGTTGACAAGATTCAATCAATGATCTGAAACAAATCCAAAAAAATAAATTCAAGGATCCTACAAATTGGTACTTTACCATATAAAAGCATTCCTTTCAGCTACATTGACAAAATAACATTCAGACTTTAGGAAATGGTTCAGGTCAAGAACTTTCCTACACCCCTTTTATCTATTTATAAATATACATGATTTATACATTTCAAGTTCAAGTTTCAAAAAAATATTTCCATTGTAAGTATTTAATATTTATAATAAAATTTGATTGCCTCGAGTATATCCTAAAATAAAACCCTAGTTTCAATTTTCATTCACTAACTGCTATTAAATAATTATATTTTTAAACCCCTATTTTACAGCCGCCAGATATTGGAGCTGAATTAACAAATGGTTGCACAGGTTTTGCTACTAAGTATATGCATTGGCAAGAAGATCTGATTGTTGGAGGAATCAGAAAGAATAAGACAGGGCATATTGTCCGGTAAGCAGTTTTAATCTTCTGTAACCTATGATTAATTACTATTTACATTGTTCAAACAATTGTCTTCTTTATTTGCACATTCTTTTATTTGCTTCTTGAGGTGATTTTTTTTTTTTTTAAATTCCTAACCGAACCCAGAATAGTCAATCTGTATATTGGCATTTCTGAAAATTGGTCCAGTGACTTTTGTGTAGATGTTCTTCCCATCTCCTGAAATGGGCTGACATATAACTGTCACATTCCTAGGTTGTTCAGTAAAGTCACTGAGAATCTGTTCTATTTCTTCCACCCAAACAATGTCAGTCAGTTATGTGCCATGCGGGATACACACTTAGACGATCATTTATCTTTCGGTACATGACTGATGAGGCAGGCCTTTTCATGCAGTAGGTTGCTATTTCTTTCTGCGGTAGACTAGTTGCCATTGCAGGCTATAGAACCCGATCTGTCCTGCTATTTACCCATAGCTGATGGGAGAAAAAGAGGATTCATACCTTTCCCAAGGATATTAGCACATAAGTGAATGTGATGGATTTGACTGGAATTCGAACTCAGCTCTCTGATTCCTCAATCCGAGCCACTATCCATTACTCCACCATAAAGAGTGTAAATAGTTACAATACCTCATCTCAGAACTATAGACAGAGATTAATTACTTGTATATTTCTTTCAGTTCTTTTCATTAGGCATGTTGTAGAGGGAATAGAAATGAACTTTCCTCATTTGTAGATAGTATTTTTATTGCCTGCTTCCATAATTTATAAAAGTGTACAGTCAATTAAAATTTTCAATTTTCTTCTTTTAGGGCTGAAGCTCTCCAGTCAATCATTCAACTTATGGGTGAAAAGAACATGTATACATTTTACCAAGATAATAACAAAGTGCGAACAATTGATTGGACCATAGAGAAGGCAAAATTAGTCCTTCAAACATGGCATCGGAAGTTCACAGATGTACGTATTTTGATTACTTCCTATTTTATCTTTTTATTCCTTATTTACATATTTTCACTTTCCTTTATTACATTTATTGAACAAAGAATAGATTCTTAAAAACTTTACTGTTCTTTCAGTTGTGATTTATGTATAAATGTTAACATTGTTTAACTAAGAGTTAACTGATTTATTTTTAATATCTTGATAAGGAAAGTTAAATTTTGTTAGTGTATTGCTTAAGGAAATAGATAAAGTCTTTATGAAACCAGAAATGGACAGATTTAGATCATTTTTATGCCATGTCTCTTCAAGACGTAGGTGATCATTTTTCTCTATAGAGGGCCCGTGATTTTTATTATCTGAGAATTATGATTTCCTAAGAAAGACAGTGGATTGGTTTTCTATTGCCTTTTCCATGGCTTTTGAACTCTGAGTAATCCTTTTGCACTCACTCAAGATGGGAGAGCCCAGTCTACCCTGCTATTTAACCCATAAATGGAGGAGAGAGATGGATTCAAAAAATGAACATAGCAGTCTAGCCCTGAATTTGAAATTTCTCATGTACTTACACAGAAAATTTTGAAATTGTAAACTTTCTTCTTCTTCTTCTTCTTATTATTATTATTTGTAATAATTTTATGTATATTTTTATTTATATATATATATATTGTTCAAAGTAGTTTTATGTCTTCTCATTTATTTTGCAGGAAATTACAAAACGGTTTGAAGGAAAACATCGGAAAAATATTCATGTTTTCTCCTCAACATCACTTGGAGACATTATGAGAAAGTTTTCAAATGTTAGTGTGGTGCGAGTGGCTCTTGGATATCTTGTGATGGTAAATTTTTCATAATTTGACCTTTATACAGAAGTGTATGTATGTACGTGTGAAATTAGCAGTTTCAAAAATATGAAATATGAAACTTCTGACAGTAATAATTAATATTGATCTTGTATTCACAAGTATACAAGTTCATATATTTATCAATTTTGGCAAACAACAATAACTTGGCTGCTTAAGCTTCAGTTAGCTTTCTTTATGATATTGACTTCACTTAATTGTTTTTAAAGTACCTTTCTTTTTCTTTTCTTTTCCTTTTTTTTTTTCTTGATATGCAATCCAATTTACTGAAAAATTTCTTCATGTCCATGAAACGAGAATACATATTCATAATAATGGTTGCTGTTAATGATAAAATTATTTTGTCTAACTTTACGATAGATCCCCCACGGAATGATATCAAAGGGCTGTAACTCCATTCTGTGTATGTTTTGTTTTTTTCGTTTTCGGTTTTTTTAGTTACCTTTTTTTTTTTCCTTTTTCTTTTTTTTCTTTTTTTTTTTTTCTTTTCGGAGGGGGTGGGGCTACAAACATAATTATCAATTAATTAGGTTCTTATAATTTATTTAGTGAAAAGATTGCTGCTATGTTTGGCAATAAAGATGTAACATATAATATATCCATTGACTATAATTTCAAAGATTAGTAAAAAAAAAAAAAAAAATTGCATCTCCCTTTCATTTGTTTTTGGTATTGTTTATTTCAGGTGCTGTATGCATGTATATCTCTTCTCAAGTGTAATGACCCTGTCAATTCACAGTGTGGTATTGGAATGGCTGGTGTGTTACTTGTAGGACTCTCTGTTGCTGCTGGACTTGGTCTCTGTTCTGTATTGGGAATCAAATTCAATGCATCCACTACACAGGTAACATCTGAAACTCTTCTTTTATTATTATTCTATTACTTACTCGGTATTGGGGAGGGGAGAACATTATCGAACATTTATACCACTGACACTGGCTTAGAATATATAATATCATTAACATTATATGCATGTAACGCTATGGCTGTAAATCTAACCTACACTCTGTCTACCTATGTTGAAGTACTAATAAATTCCAATCCTGTTTTGTTTCACAAAATTTGGCCAGTCATCAAATTATTGGAAGATCTTTTTTGGATCAAGTGCTTTTAAGTGCTTCTTTCTAGATAAATATGTATTTATCATTTGAGTAACAAAAGGTAGCTTTAACTGCTATCAATAACTTCTTATTCTGCCTTCCTGTATTTAGCAGAGTATATGTATATGTCTCTATCTGTTCATGTGTGTTATATTTGGTCTTTACCATTAATGCTGAGTTTTGGAAACAAATTAATTTCTACCAGTATTTTAGTCAGTCAATGTTTGTTGATACCATTTTATTTAGTTTATATCCTTACACTATTGTGATCTTAACACTGATGTTTGTTTAAAATATTACCTTTTTAATCAAAACTTTGGTTCTAATTTTCTTTCTTTTTTTTTTTCTTACCTTTTCTAGATCATTCCATTTTTAGCCCTAGGTCTTGGTGTGGATGATATGTTCCTAATTGCACATACCTATTCAGAACATGCTCATCTAAAAATCCCTTTCATGGTAAGTTCAAGTGAAATATTCTTCAGTTTTATATTTTTATTCAGAATTTTTATACAAGATCCCATTACCAAGGAATTATTTCTGTGTTTAAAAAGAAAATGCCCCAAAATCATAAGTTTTCTTATACAATGATCTAACTTGCTTTTGTATGTGTGTAGGATGTACTTGGCACTGCAATAGTTTACTGCAACAGTTTATATTAATGATGTAAAGTCATTGCAGAAGCTACAGCAGGGACAACAAAACCTTGCAGAGCATTGTTCATTCTGTAAAAAAAATTGTTGGTCAGCTTTGATACAAGGGATCAAAAAAAATAATTAAGTGTTTATGTCCATAAAAGGACTTCCAGGAAATAATTGTATAGAATATATCTATTAAAGGACAACATAAAGACAAAAGGAAAACTTGTCTTAACCGATGCATTTTGTCCTCTGAAGAATTTTATCATGGCAAATGCAAAGATTTTATTTTGTAACAAGTATTTATAGACAAAAGAAAAATAGTATTAGTTTTTCAAAATTTTTAAATTTAAGAAACACTTATAAATATTCATCAGACTAGACTTTTCAGTAACCAGATGAATATGAGCATTTTTTTAAATTTAAAAACTTTTGAAATGAAATGTTCCAAATATTGTTATTGCTGAACTGCAGAGATTGATGAAGATTTTCCCAATTTCTTTCCTTTGTTTATTTGTCTGAATAGCTTTACATTTATATTTTAAATGTTACTTATCCTATTTGTTTATTGTCTCTTTATGCTAACAAGGTTTTCACATGTGAGTATAAAAAATAATGATCATGTACAATTTTTGTTGTTTTTTTTTTTTTTTTCTTTTTTTATGAACACTGCACTTCATTGTTTTTGTTTTCAGAAAAATTTCAATTTTTAAGTTGCATAAACATTTGCACACCAAGGAAATCAATTTTGTTTCCTTGAAATCATATATTTTAATCTCTCTCTCTCTCTCTCCTTTTGATTGATTTGTTTTCTATGGCTTATCAATGGCTTATTTATTAAACAGTGAAATTAATAACAACCAGTCTAAATTAAGAAATTCTACTAAAGAAAAGTTTAGGCTGTTTGTTATTAATTTTAAATTAATTTATAATTTAAACTGTGAAAGCAACTGAAACGTATGCCCACTAAAAAATAACGCTTTATAGTAATAAGAAATAAGTCAATCAATAAATCTATCCGAAGGATATAAAACAAAATAATAATTTACATAGATGATATTTATTTTTCAACACAATCTTCCTTTCAATACACTTAACTTGATGCATTTCTTTTAATTACATAGAGCAAACATTATGCAGTGAGAATTTAATTTCTAAATTCAGCTAAAAACTGTGCCAGTCTACAAATTTGGTCTGCCCTTCTAAGATTTAAAAAAAAAAAATTTATTACTTCAATAGTTTTGTTGTTCATTCAACAACTATTATATTAGTTTTCTTATATAAAAGTAATTTCTTTTGTATTTTTAAAACAAAAACACAATTTGGGTCTATTTCTAAATTAACAGTTTTGGCAAAAAATTATCTACAAGTTGTTGGATTGTTTATTGCATGAATAGAAACCAACTTCAGTAATTTCATTAAAAATTTAATTTTAATATATGATTGTATATTTAATGTCTATAGAATATCAATTTCTTTTTTCAAATAATTTTGCAGGAACAAACTGGTGAATGTTTGAAAAGGACTGGAGTTAGTGTCTTGTTAACTTCACTGAGCAACATCATGGCCTTCCTAGCTGCAGCCATCATCCCAATTCCTGCCCTGAGAGCTTTTTCCTTACAAGTTAGTCTCCATTCAGTTGTTATCTCAATTTTTACTCTTAAGTATCAAGTTTCTTAATTTCAGGATCCAATTGCAATTGGATTTTATATCTTCATCTTTTGGTATTTTTTATTCTATTTTCTTACGTGATACATTCATTCTTCTATTACTTTTTGCAAAGTCATTTACAATTACCTCCCTTCTATAACTGCTTACAAAATTTAGTCTTGACATTTAAGAATCTCAGTGCTTGGATCCCGGTCAAGATTTTTTTTTTTTTCATACCAACTCTGATGATTGTCAAAATGATGTCAAATCAACTCCATTCTGAAAGTCATGAGAATAATCAAAGACAAATATTGAAGTGTAACATCCTACCAATATTTATAATATTCTCAACCTCAAAGAACCTTTTTTTCCTTCAAGCAAACATCAAGCACTTTAGAATCACTCACAGAAGTGCAAAGACTTCAAAATGCTTATGAAATAAATCATTCCTTATTTTCTAGTCAGTCTATAACATTATATTTATTTTAATCAGTCTTTGTATTTTGGTGTTTCATAAAAATTCTAGGGGGCATAACCTTCTTCTTTTTGGTATTTGTCAATAACAATTAATGCCTAAAAGACTATCTATGACTATGGTCATGGCTATAAGAACACAAATCCAATCTTAGATATGAAAGATGTAGTGGCATTGAAATAGACATTAATCAATAAGCACAGTACATGGCTATGTTTTACCAATGCTGGTATAAAAGAGCTCACTATCTCATATGAAGACAAGTTTTCATTCATGTTGAAAAATTAATGATAATGAGTATCAGCAACTCAGCAAAATAATAGAAAATTTATATCTGTTAATTTTAAATCCATACAGGAAACAAGGGATAAACTTCTATTCAAAAGACCAGGGAGAAGTGTGAACCAGATGAGAAGCAAACCTATCTACTCCTACTGAGGGGGAAATAATAACAAATAAGTAAATAAAATTTCAGAGTTTAGCCGGCGACATTAAAAGTATAGAGTTGAAGTAGATTTTAGAAAGAACCAAAATCCCTGTCCTAAACAGGAAACAAGGGTTAAACCTCTACTCTTGTTTAAAAGGCCAGGGTTACTTAGTTCAGTCTATCACTGAGTAAGAATTGGTGAGAAGGTCTATAAAAAATCTAACCATTTCATCTTGGTGAACTCTCTTGTAAATATTGCAGGTGGTATATACTTCTTGTAATGAGGCGGACAGACAGATTTACTTTAAACATGTTTTTATTACTTATAGGCATTTGTCAACACCATATCTAGACCACCCATTTGGTGGTAAATCACAAGGAAAAATACATAACTTTTTTTTAAAACTCAAATAAGCTGAAAGAAATGGATGTTATTTCTTTTGTTTATATTAAGTGCGTAAAGAAAGCCTGCTTTGTACTGGAAAAAAGTATGAGATGTTTGTTAGGGTAGAGCAGATAAGACATAGGGTTATTTAGTGGGAATGTGGGTTAGCTACCCACATTTCTAAAGCCTTGTATAATAAAGGTACATAACACTCACAGTATCTCAGTCAAGATCTTATGTATTCATGTTTTTATCTATACCTTTTCAGTGGGTGTATTCATATTTTATATACTCTCATAGTTAAATTTTTTCATGCATCATCTACAATTGTGATTTTTTTTTTCCTAAATACTTTTTGGTTGATTCTTGTCTGTTCTTTTTTTTTTTTTCTCTCTCTCTCTCTCTCTCCCAAACACATATATTTATACACTCACTCATTTTGCTAATCTTATTCTATGCACTTTGTGTTGTTTCCATTGGTCATTTTTAAAAATATACATATATTACACATATATATGTCTTCACTTTTGTCATATAATCATGGCTTTTAAAAGCGGATATTTTAGAAAATATTCATATAATATACAAATATATTGAAACAAGTGAGGAGTGAGCAAAGAAAAGAAAGAAAAAGATTAATCACAATAAAGCGGTAAATAAGTTGCTTTTCCTACCCCTTGTTTTAATTTATTTGTATATATTAGAATATATAATTTTTAAAACGTTTGATTTTAAATCCATAATAAAATTTTGTACACCTAACCCCCCCTCCCCCAAAAAAAACAGTATTTTTTCAAGAACATTTGTACATTTGTATTGACAGCCCTCACCAAGTTCTTGGTATTTTGCAGTACATGGTCTCCTCCTTAATGATACCTCAAACACAGTTGTCTAGATGATTTAATTCAGGAGAAATAGGAGGCCACATATTGGGGGTTGACAATGATAAATATTCTAGAAAAGCCACTCTTGCATTATACTGGAACAGGTGCAGCAACTTCCTCAATCTACAGCTTGACCACCAAATCTAACACTTTAATGGTTGCATTGACCCTAAGAAACTGCAAGAAGTGGAGTGGCCCTCACAACAAACCTCACAACCATCACAGATGACTTGAAGTTGGTGTGAATCAGTTGAATACACACAGAGCCACCTTTCCCTCCTCCTGTTCACCTGGCCACTTTCAAAGAGCTTGTTAGCAGCACTTCTTTATGGTTGGCAGCTGGTGCCACAACTACAGCAAGCCTTTTTCATTTCCTGTACCAGTTTGGAAGCTGTCAAGTTAATGCTTTTGATAAATCTAAAAATGAGCATGTTAAGATTTCATGCATGTGTTATATAAGTCTTAGTTCATCTTATGGTTTGCTAAAAGTTTGTTCTCAAATATCAGAAAGTTAGCCTAACCAAGAAGGATCCCCCACCACACACACACACACACACACACACACACACACACACACACACACAAAAATAGCATAGCATCTAGGTTGAATAAGAATTGTGTGTAGCAAAGGATCAATAAAAGTTGTTGTTATTATTATTATTATAGCCTGTGCCCACTTCTCTCATTCAATTTTACATGCCATGTGATATACATTTGTACACTACATCCAATGTGTACATGTATGGGTGTGTGCTTGGATATATATGATATATATATATATATATATATATATATATATATATATATATATATATATATATATATATATATATATATATATATATATAAAGTGTATACAAGTAGATATAAATAGTGGTATGTATGAATTTGTGTACATGTATACATATAAAAAAATCCTCTATGATAAGTATGCTTGTGAATGTACAAGTACATATCAAAGCGCATGTACAAGTATGAAAAATAAAGAGGTCTTTAATACATGTATATGCCTGGGTAGGTGTATATGTAGGCATGCATATGAAGTCTATTTATATATGTGTGTGTGTGTGTGTATAATTATTATAATTATTTTCTTTTTAAAAAATATGATTCCATCACAACACAGAAATTTCTGTTTCAAAACTGTTTTGAAACATAGAAATTTCTGTGTCGTGATGGAATCATTTAAAAAAAAAAAAATAATTATAATATTAGGCTCTAATGTTTGTATCAAGCATTGTTTTTTAAAAATAAAAATAATTACTAAGAACACCAGATTATAAATCTTACTGTTCTTTCTTATTATTTTAATCTTTAGATATATACAAAAAACAAATTGGCACAGAGGCAAAAAGACACCCTTCAATTCTCAAGTCAGGAAGTGAAAGGCTAGGGTAATTAATTTGATTTACAACACCCACTTTATCCTTAGAGATAATTTTGTCTTTCTTTTAGTCAAACTGATGATGCTAATGAGAGCATAAGCTTTCTCTGGCAAAATGTGTCTTTTGATAAAAAAAATTTCCACTTTGTCTCACATCATCTTCACTTTTGGTTTGGATACTGTGATGCAGCCTACAAACTCACATCAGGTACATATGAAACAGATGGACATACGAATGTCTTACTCTGTAGAAAACACATAGATGCACTTTATTTATTTGTTTTTACTTACTTAAACCCAGCACAATGTACATCTCTTTCCCTAATTCCTTGCTCACTCCCACAGATTACAATTTAATAGAGAAATAGCTTTATAAGTTTAAGTGAACTTTCTGTTACCACTATTTTTTCTTTCCTTCATTATGTCTTGTTCTCTTCATGTTTCCCATTCTTTTATTTCTCTTTTCTTTTTTCTTTTCCATTGTTCCTTGTTTTGTGTTTGTTCTTTTTTTCTTTTCTTTTTTCTGTATTACTTCCTCTTCTTTCCTTCAGCTTAATCCTTCCCTTAATTCTCTCTTCTTTCTCATTCTACCTATTTTTTCTCCATTTTTTTTTCTCTCTTCTTCCTTCTCCTGCAGGTACAGAATTGAATGTGTGTATTGGGGTAGGACGGGTGGGGTTGAAGGCAGCTCTAACAGATTAGTAGAAACAAGCAGGCAGCCCACCCTGACTAAGTCTACCAATCTCCTTCCTACCTGCCTACCTCCTGATGATATGTGGGTCAGGACATATCTCTTCTCTCCTACACCCACGAACCCTAGAATGCTGCTGCCTGTATCTTACCTCTGCCCTGCTGGAAGTTTCAACACTGCTTCACCTCCATCACTATCGCTGCTACTCTTACTAACACTGCTACATTTCAATGGTATTTGCACTCCCCCCTCATACACACACTCAACATCTACAAGTGCCAGTGGCATATCTATTCTAATTACCATGATGACACTAACAGCTATTTAGACCTTTCATAACTTTTCTGTCATTGATTAGGAGTTATTAGACAATTTTTGTAAGAAATTTGAACTTTGACATTCACTCCCTGTATATGTGTGTGCATATATATATATATATATATATATATATTTCCAAGAGGATAGGATCCAGGTAGAACTCAAATTTGTAGGTCCCATGAATTGATTACAATTCCAGTGTAATAAATTATAACCATGGAATATTAGTATTTAAGCCTTATATATATATATGTGTGTGTGATTGATTGATGAAATGCAAAATTTGTCACTTTGCTGATTGATGTTATATCCAGCACCCCGACAGTTTTGTAGATAAACCTTTTTGCAATCATTCAGTCCACTCATCAAGAGATGTCAGCAATTGACTGCCAATTTTCTCATTTTCGTTATTTAAAGTTAGTTAAAGTTAAAAAATAATTTATACACTTTTTGTTGACATTAGGTTGATTATTTATTTCTTAGTGTATGTAAGTGTGTATGCATGTGTAGAATGTTTTTCCTTTTTCACTTGTAATGGCTTCTATCTCATTTTGGCATCTATTGCCACTAAGATGACTCTTGAGAACAGCAGTTGATTTCATAGGTATTATGCATAGATGACAGATAAACTCTGTATTTTTGAGTTGATCTGCATGGCCTATAATTCTTCTGTGTACCACCATGCACTTTTTCAGTCCAGATGATGATCTGCAAAACCTTTTTGCAAACAACACATGTATTGTTGGTAGGATGACCAGGCAGGTTGGCTTGCTTCTGGTCATTATGATGACCTTTCAGATGGATTACATAACCTGCACTCGACAACAGCATGTGCTCACACACACCACATTTCCAAGACTGCATATTAGTTGACAAATCAGGATGAGTGACTCTATGGAGATCAAACTTTATCTGAGTATGCCTGAGACACTCATTCTCTACAGCCTCCTTCCCTAATAAAGTGCCTCCACTCTGATTTAAAGTCAGTTCTTCTCAATGTTGCACATTCATGTGTAGTACATTAAGATTATCGTTCAAATTATCTTTAAGCCTTTTTCTATGCTTGTTGTGGATGCTTTCCTGTCCACACACACACACACACACACACACACACACATAATGATCTATGTATAAGGAAGTGATTATTCTCAGAATCAGGCTTTAGTTTGTGTTTTTGCAGATGGCCTAAAATCTAAGCCTTGCTTTCTTAGCAAATTCATTCTTTGAGCCAGTTGATTCCAGTTTGTTCTCTCAGGAACCGGATTACCAAAAACTGGCCTTTCTGAGAAATAATTCAGTCAGTTTCAGCAATGCTGAATTCATGCAAGACAATGTCACAACCATCTAGCAAAGTTAAAATTGTTTAATTCTAGCACATTGACTGGAGCAATTTTATTTGGTCTGTGTGAAGTCATTGGGGACGCATTTTGTTGTCTAAACCATTTTTTAAATCGAAACACAACAGTTTAAGTCATTCTCCACAGGGAGATGTTAAATCTTAAATGTCTTTTAAAGAGAGAGAGAGAGAGAGAAAAAAAGGATCATTCTCCTTCTTCATGATCAACATTTTCTGCTACTCTATTTTACCTTTTGCTATTTCTTTCACTTTTCTTCTTTATTTATTATTTTTCTTAATTCTTCTTTATTTTACTCATTCCTTTTTTTTTTTTTTAAGTTCCTTTTTCATTTATATTTTTCTTTTTCTACTTTCTCCTCTATTTATCCTTTTTCTCTTATTTCTTGTTTTTCTTTTCTTTTCTTTTTTTACCACTGGGGTGGCTTACTCTTAACTTGTGTGTGTATTCGTGCAAGGAACACTGTGCCTGAATGTTTTCCCATATGCTTCACTACTCGTTCCCTGTATCTATTTCACTCAACTCTTTTACCTCCCAGTCAGCACACAATTCATAACTAATTCATGAAACAGTTCTTTAACACATTCTCAATGTGTGAAATCTGAAACCCCAAATTTCTGACCTTGTCTTCATCTATTTTTCCCCTCTTTTCTTTGGCAGTCCTTGACAAACTGCCAGCTGCCCTACCTTGGGAGATTTTTTTACTCCAATGCTGGTGACATCTTTTCTTCTTGGTGTTTTCATGAAAACACTGGTTTTGGTTTGTTGGCTAGTCTGTTAGTGTGGAGTGGGGTGTTAAAGAATATAGCTTCAAAACATTCTGACAATTTACATTTGTTTGTTTGCCATTACCCAAAAGAAAAAAAAAGTTGTTATATCCTAAGGATTCAATTCCTGTATTGTATTGCCTGAAGTAATTCTTTTGCAGCAAATGTTAACTGGTTATTGTGTTTGCAAAACAAAAAGGATATGCTATGTAGAGGAACTCTAGAAAATGTGTTCAATAAATATTGGATATTAAGAAATTAATATAGTCTAAATTGATGTTACTTGTTAGATTTGAAACCATGGTCCAGATTTCTTAAGTTCATGTTAACTGATACTTTTCAATTATTTTATGGATAATTTATCTTCATACTAAAATGAATTGTTTAACATAAAAATGAAGTTTAAGATTATATTTCTGTTTCTTTCTGATAATGTAAAGATATCAAGTTGAACTTAGGGTTTTGTCAAAATGGCCCCTTGGTTAATTTCTTGTTAATTTTAAAGAGTTTAAAAAATTCTAAACACATACTTTCAAAAACTAATTGAAATTTATTTAAAAAAAAAAAATAATAAGTTCTCATTTTTAAGAATTTGCAAACAATTTTAAACTTAAATAAAATTAAGAAAAAAAATTAAATTTAAAAAAATAGGGAAGAGAAAATACATGACCAAAAAATAAAGGAAAAATTAGTCAAAGAATGTGTTATGATTGTAATGTTTTTTTATTTTACAACTTATGGCCTTCTTTACTTTTTTCTATGCCTATACCTCATCACCCCAACTCCCCACCCACCTACGTTTTCATTTTCTTTTTTATTTAAACCTACCTTTTTTTTTTTTCCTGTGGAGATGTCTTTGCATACCTTTAGTAATGTGTAAGTTTTGACTGACTTAATAGGTTGTAGATCAATAGTCAAAAAAGCCATGATTTCTCTTTTATCTCACTTCCAGTGAAACTAGCAAAGAGTGGGATCTCTTCTTCCATTCCTCATTTCTATAGTTTCCCATCATGCTCTGTGGCTCTGTTTACACAAAACTTTCAAGAAAGAGGGCAGGTGGCGCCTTACTGTTTGGCAAAGAGAGAAACAGGGAAGTGGACCAGACTCTGTTCTCTTTTCCCAGCCCTATTTATGATTCTCTCTGGAACTCCTCTCTCCACCCTCTCAAAAGTTTCTTTTCCCCTTCTTTTTCAGAAACTCAAAGCCTCATCAAATGTTTCTCTTTAACTGTTTTGGTCTATCTTGTGCTATGGGACTAGGGCATGGATTTGACAGCCAGAGAAACATGACTGAAGTACATCAGTGTGGCAGGAAGGGAATGAGAGAGAGAGAGAGAAAGAAATTTACTGTTTAAAAAAAATGTAAAATAAATATAGAGAAAGAAAATAGTAAGAATTAAATCAAAGAAAAAAGAGAAACATACACTGAATGACAAAACAGGGTTTCAACAAAGAAAAGGCCTAAAGGATTGAAAAATACTTGGTGTTTTAAGATATTTAAAAAAAAAAAAATAAGATAGTAAAAGTGAGTCAAGTTCTTTTCTGATTTTCTTGTTAAAATGGTATTCAGTCATTTTGTGGTTAGAATAAAACAAATTTGACCATGTTTTTGAGAAAGATTTAAATTTATCTTTCTTATCAACTTTTGACAAATAAATTCATATTTATCAAACATTTCTATTTACTGTGGTATGTGTGCAGATTTTTTTTTTTTTTAATCATTCACCCCCAAGCAAGGCAATAGTCATTACAACACAAGAAGTTAGTGAAAGAAACTGAGAAAACATTAAAGATATAGAAAACGATAAATGAACATAATTCAATGAAGATGTTGCTTTTAAATTTTTGAAGATCACAGTTGACACGTATGTAAGGAACTGGAAGAGTTTCATAGGCAAAAAGTGTGAGAGAAGAAACTATTAACATAAAGCTTACAGTTAAATCTAGCAATTTCAATAGATAAATGATATAACCTAGCTGACAATCTAGTACTGCACTTAAATTTGGGAAGTCAAAGTATCAAAGAGGAAAGGACAGAACAATTACCATGAAAGCATTTATAGAAAGGGCACAAGGAAATGAAGCTAAGTCAGCACCAATGACATAGCAGAAGTACCAATGTTAGTGTGTGGGTACATAAATGTTTGAAATTTTGAAATTGGTAAATGCCATACATTAATTATTCCAAATTATTACATGTCTGTGTATGTGCATAAATTTTTGTGTTAATGATTTCACATTGTGCGTGTGTGTTTCTATGTATAGGCTTCTTTTTTTTCATATATGCACATATGCATTTTTCTCCCAGCTGACATCTGTAATATCCTCCCTCCCCCTCTACACACACACACATATGTATAAAGTGGTCATTGAGGTCAACACCTAGCAGCAACAGTCTGTTTCATGCTTAAACACAATGCTCTATCCTTGATATTGAACACTTTAACTCATAAATATAGCATACCTTAAAAATATATATATATATATATATATATATATATGAAAGAGAGAGAGAAATGTATAGAATAAAGAAAATCCCAAAGGAAAGTTTATATTTTATTCCTCTGTATGTGTGGTTAATATTTTGAAAATTGTCCATACCAGATGTGCACAAAAAAACTTCATTTTTTTTCTTTATAACTCTCAGATTGTTGCACCATTTGTAACTATCACATTATTACTTTATTCTTAAAATATTGTTTTCTTACAACTATTACCTTCCAACAATTCAGATAGCACAAATATTTTCTTGCTTTATTTCTCCTTTATTCTTGAGGAAGATCCACACTTGTTCTGTGCATTCATATTTTTTCTTCTCTTTGTATGGCAGGCTGCAGTGTTGGTTCTCTTCAATCTCTGCTCTGTCCTGTTGATTCTGCCCGCAGTTGTTAGTTGGGATTTGTACCGCAGAGAAGACAAACGCATTGATGTTTTCTGCTGTTCCCAAAGGTAAGGACTCGGACTTTTCTGACAAAGTAATAAAGAATTTTATCTTCTTGCCCAAAGAATGTTCTGAAAGCTAACAGTCTACAGGGGGAGCATTCAACTTAGTTGGGAACTGAATATTGAAATAAAAAAATACAGTTTTATATTTTCATGTGCAGGTTTAAATACTTTGATTTTAGATGATGTTGAAAGTTATGAATGGGTTGCAAAGATTTCTTCTATAGACTGTATTGTTATGCATTAATATCTTGCACAAAAGCCATATGCCTTTTAATTACTTTAATATTATTGTAATTGAGTTAACAAGAACAGTAGAAAATCAGAATTGGTTTAACAACAAGTTTATTACCTTTTGGTACAGGGAAACATAATGTAGAATAGAAACTAGTATCGTGGGGCTCTCTAACTTTGGATGGCACCCACTCCAGATGGAGTACTCTGAATTCAAAACTATAGAGAAAGCAACAGGAAACCACTCCACTGTCTTTTCAGAGATGTCACAGCAATTAGCATATTTTAAAACCAAATAAATTAATAAAATGAAAACTATAGGGAACCATGAAAAGATATGGTATTATAAAAAAATAATTTCTCTTGGGCACATATACGATGATCTTAAAGAGTAGCAAATGTCTGTACTATATTCATGCGGGATGTGCAAATTTCCCACACTTTTGGTTAATACCTGTGTGTGTGTGTGTTGGTTACTGATATAAATCAAAATGAATTATTAAATATGTATTTAACAAATTCTTTTTCCCACTAAATCCCTGACATCATTAAAATATAATCTATACCAACTACCTTTTGACTTTCAAATCAATGGGCTTATTAAATATTCAGCTAAAATATTTTACCCCCTAATGCATGGAACTTAAAAAGTGGGAAGAAGATGGCAGTGGAATATGAACTATAATAATCCCAAGTGTATTTTTCTCCAAAAAAGAATAATCATCTAAGTCTGACTATTTGAAATTCGGAAGTATTATTTTAATTCTAAATAATAGCTAAAAAATCTCTATCACTTACCTATCTTGATTTATTTTATGATTTTTCTTTTCTTTTTTGAGCAGTGCAATAGCCAATCAAGTGATTGAGTTGAACCCTCACAGGGACTCAGAACGTAAAGATCACAGTCCACCTTATTCTGGTCATGGTCCCACCCATTTAAACATCCCTTATTCTCCATCCAGTGTGGCCATACATCATACAGTAACCCGCATTTCAGTGAATGGTTCTCATCCAGTCACATGTCTGGCTAAGCAATCACCTGAACGAGCAGTAATGCACATTACACCTCCAACCAAAGGAACAACTTCAGATAAAACACTTCCTCTTCCTTCTCCTCCTACACAACAGCAGCAACAACTACAACAACATAATGTTACTTTTCCTCGTAAGTATTCCTAGGTTTTGTTTTTGTCTATAGCATGGTTCCAGACTAACCTTTTTCACTCTCCCTCAAAACCATCCTGAAATCAAGATATTTGTTTTTAATTTTGTTATTTATAGTTGTTAGTAGCATAATACAAACACCATTAAAATATTTTGGAAATAAGTTTTTAAAAAGTTAAAATTTAAGATTTTAAAATTAAATAAATACACAAACCTATTAGTTAAATTTTACTGTAATTTTCTTTTTACTCAAACTTTATTTTATTTAAAAAATTTCAGTTAAATCACTTTGAATAATTTTATATGGAAATGTTCTTAATTTTTGTGCCCAGACTAATTTTTATCATACTTTAAGAATTGTGCTCCATGCATTTATTTTCTATTTACATTATTCAGACTGTTGTCCTCATCTTTATTGCAATAAAGATGAGGACAACGTCCAAACAATGTAAATACTTACAATAGAATCTCAGAAATATAAACACATTTATTTTCTATACAAAAGATATTAATGCATTCCAACTATTCAGAATAAAAAAAAGTTGCAAAGTCTTTATCAAAAAATTTTAATTTACAATTACTTGCCTTGCATAGTGACTAAATTTTCCATGTTTGTTTATTTTTTTAAAATTCTCCACTGTATTTTCAGTTAAGTTTATGATAAGCAGAAAACATTTTAAGATAAGCGAAACTAATGTTCTATCATTGCCAGGAGAACATTAATCTTGAGCCCCTGTCTATACTCGGTTTAAAACTTCTCCTCTTCAAGGCACATTTTCCCTGATTTTGATCAGCTTCTTTTTCTATTATATATACAGCATTAATCTCTTCATAAAATCGTCAATAACAAGTCTCATTTGGAAGCAATTTATAAGTGATTTCTGAATGATCATTTAAAAAGACTTACCTGGCAAGGATCAAAATATTGTCAAACCTAAGATATATAAACAAAAAAAAACTTGTTATAATAATATGATATAAAATGATAGTATCATTTTTTTATCATTTTAATTTCTAATTAAAGAAAGTTTAATATATTGAATAGGATTCATTATATATCCTTGTGAATATTTATTCATATACAGAAGGCACTGCACAAAATTATAACCGAGTTGGTGGCAGTTTGTTGCATTTTCATAACTATATTCTGCATGTCTCATTTTGTATATGTCACAGAGGAAGGTTATGAAATCAGGCGTGTGAGTCACTTCCTGGCAAGTTGAAGTTAACCTTAAACAAATTCATGCCATCAACACTTTCTTTGAAAATAAGAAAAAAATATTTAATTAATATAGTAGTCCCACTGGGCTATTACATAAAAATGTATATAATAAATGCACTATAGCCAAAGACCAACAAAATATTGTGAATAAATTTGTATTTCATATTGAATTAGGACAATATTGATGTATTATTCCATTTCTTTGATTTTAGCTGGTTGTCAGTCTAACACATCATCCCGCCAGTGTCTCGCTCCCGAAGAACCTGTGACGTGCAAAAGTCGTTGTGCTCAGGCCCAGCAAAAATGCTTCAACCTGTCTCTCACTTATATTGTCAAGAAACTTTATGGGCCTTGTTTACAGAAGAAGCCAGTCAAGGTAAGTGCAACAAAATATTCTGATTGAACTTTGAAGATAACAAATCTTGTTTATTATTATTCATATCACTAAAAATCTTTATAGATATAATAATTGTGTTACTGTTTTAACCGAGCCATTATACAGTACTACATTTGTTGGTCAAAGCAAGAAAATGTAAGCTAGCAAAGTAAACGTGAAATTTGTCACTTAGCTGATTTTTGTAGATGAACCTTTGTGCAGTCCTTTGATCCACTCATCAGGATGTATTAGCAATTGACTGCCAGTTTTCTCATTTTCATTATTCTTATATTAAATTAAAAAAAAAATTATATGCTTTTTTTATTGTTAGGCTGATTATTTTCTTTGTGTGTGTGCATCTGAACCTATACATAGGATGTTGTGGTTATTTTCTTATACAACTAATTCACTTTTATTCTCTTTCAGGTGTTTACCATTTTGGTGTATGTCTTTATCTCAATTGTTGGTCTCTATGGTGCCATGCAAGTCAAAGATGGTCTTGACCTTACAGACATTGTACCACATGGAACGGCAGAGTATAGCTTCTTGGAGGCAAAATCCAAATACTTTGGATTTTATAATTTCTTTGCAGTTACCAAAGTAAGCACTTTTTCCAGTTGTATCTCTCGGAGTAAAATTTATATTTTTTAAAGATTTTTTTAATATTATGGATTTGCATTTTGATATAGATTTTTTTTTCTACAACATTTTTCTATTGAAATTTGTAATGTTCTTCACTCAACACTATCTGCAGGCAATAACCTTAAATGCCTAATAGATGAGGGAGGAGCATTTATTTTATTTTTATTTATTTATATTTTTAAGGAATCCCTCCCCCTCTAAGATTATTAACCTTTAGCACTCTGCATTATTAATATTACTTACCGTTTCACTGCATTCTTTTTCAAGGCCTCACAATTGCAGTCTTTTTATTGTTATTTTGCTCAAGTTGTTTTCTGTTACCATAGCAGGATATAACAACACAACTATGAAATTTAAACACTATTGTTCAGGGATCAGTCACCTTTAGTGGCAGGATATACTTTTTGTACAGCAAATGAAGTCACAGAGTGATATTTCACCCTTTTTGACCTTTTTAAATGATTTTCTAACCCCATTTTATTAAGCCCACCTCCACAGACCATTTATTGCAATTGGAAAAAAAAAATTTGCCTCCTGATTATTTAAAACCAGTGGTTCTCAAACTTTTTGGGGTTGCCACCCTCTTGCATATCAAGATAAACACTAAGGTCCCCACTAACCTTTGATTGGACTTTCTTGGTGTTAGTATTGCATATCAAATGAGTATCTTAGTATTTCCCATAATAATTGTTATATAAATGGGATACACTGTCAAGTGAAGGCAACATACACTTCAGGTAGAATGGGTGTATGTTAGGGTTCAGATGTGCCAGTGCCACCCTCTGGCTGCCCACTTTTTCTCACTATCTACTTTGGGAATCACTGATTTTGACCCTTCCCTTTGTATTAGACACCTAAGAATAGTTAAGTTTATCGGTTCTTTTCTCATATTGACCTTTCTTGTAAAATAATATTTAATGAACATTCATTGGATTTTTGGTTTTAATTTATTTACTTTTTTTTTTTTTTTTTCTGCCAGGATAACTTTGACTATGCACACGACCAAAAATTACTCTATTCTTATCACAAGGCATTCCAACAGGTTGGACATATCATCAAAAGGGAGGATGGCTCTCTACCAACATTCTGGTTGGAACTTTTCAGAGAGTGGCTCTTAGGTGAGATTCAACAATGGATTTTCTGAATACGTATTTTCTTTTTACCACAATACAATTAAGTTTCAGTTTTCACTTGACAGGAAGTATGACTAACTTTATTGATACAAGACTGTATTTTAGGTAAATCCAGTTAAGGATAAAATTTATTTCATTGCTAAATAAATTACACTATAAAAAAAATGTTAAGAATCATTAACTGTTATAAATTAGCATAAATTTGAAGTGTAATGACATTTTTGATATTTAGAACTTTATAGATAACTGGATCTCTATTGTCTTTTATAGATGCAGTGGGCAGTAGAAATACCTCCCACATAATGGTAAGACATTAGTGAGATGAAGTCACCATTTCCACTAATGTCTTACCATTATGTGGGAGGCATTTCTACTGCATCATGTATAAAGAATTTATGAAGTGGAAAAACAATTTTATGTTCATATTAAATTCATCAACAAAGGTCTTGGCAAATGCTCTCATCATTTACTAAAAAAATAATAAATATGCATACATATAAAAAGAAAGAAAAAGAAAATATGAACTAAATCTTTTTTTTATATATATTATATCTTCCATGTTTTTACAATTTCCAATTGTATTGTTTTTGTATGCAAGTGTTGATTTTAATTATTCTACTTTGTTGCTTTTTTTAACAGATCTACAGAATGAATTTGATGACAATGTTGCTAAAGGCAGTATTGGGCAAAAAGCTTGGTATGATAATGCCACAGAAGGTGGAATTTTAGCTTTTCGTCTCCTGGCACAAACAGGCAATGTGGATGATCCTCATGATGTTAACCAGGTATAATTAATTTGTGAAAGTTTCACACAAACTTCACACAAAACAGAACATAACCTGATATTCATTTTGTGATGAAACCAACATTTTTTTTTAAATCACATTAATTCCAAAAGAGAATTAAATAAAATTTCTCATCAGTTTATCTTTGTTTTTCTGACTCTTTTCATTTTTATTATCACTGCTGTAAATGCTATATAAATCTTTGAAGAATACGAAATATACTTTTACATTCTGAAAGAACAAGACATGATCTCATCAGAAAATCATATTTTTAGGAAAAAGTAAGAAACAAAATATATTTTCAAAGTTTAAAAAGAAAATATCTTAGATGTTGATAACTGGTTAGAATTACAGTAGTATCCTACATATGTATATTATTATTTATATACATGCACACACACACACATTACCTCACAACTATTTAACTATTCTATTTTATTCTACTTCAGGTTTAAAATAAAATTCCCCTTCTATATTTCTTTCCTAGGTTCACAAAGTTCGACTTGTGAAAGATGGTATCATAAATCCATCTGGTTTCTACAATTATTTGTCTGCTTGGCGAGGTTCTGATGTCTTGGCCTATGATTCTTCCATGGGCGATTTCTACCCACCACCACACTCTTTTGTTCATGACTACTTGGATCCGAGCCTTGAAAGTAAGAGGACATTATTTTGTACATTTTATAAAATATTGAAAAAATAAAATTATGTTTATTATATTGTATGATTTTTTTTTACCAATATTTTTAAAGTTGTTGTTGTAGTAGTAGTAGTAATAATAACAACATCTTTTTTTTTTCTTTAGTTCACAAATCCCACCAAATTCAATATGCTCAGTTGCCATTCTACCTTACAAATTTGTCAAATACCAGTGACATAATAGAAACAGTTCGGGTAAGTTTATTTTCTTTATCTTTGTTGATTTACCAACCAATGATTTCTTACCATTTTATTATTAGTAAATTTTATGCAAGTAAGTCAAGAAATTTCTCAACATTAACACAATGAGACCTAGTTGCCAATCAAGTAGTACAATTAAATTCATGCAGTCAAAGTATCAAGGAGGAAAGCTCATTAGAACAACAGCCATAAAAAAATTTATAGAAAAAACAGGGAAGCATCATCATAGTGGAGGAAAAGTGACTGAAGGCAAGATGCCAGATCAGGACTGATTGCATTGTTGTTATTATATTACATCACATGATATCATTGTAAGATTTAGTTGTGCTTCAAACTAGACAAACTTAAAATTTCTGGCACAAAGTTGGCAGACATGAGATTTATATATTTTGAATATATACATATATATATATATATATATATAACCAAATAGGTAAATATAGGTAGTATACGAGCAAGCAATCATATACAAATACATATAAATACTCCATAGTATAAGAAAAAAAAAGTGCTCCATGTTAAGTAACAGCTATTTAATATATATATTAAATATACATAATATCTTGCATTAATTGCACAACTCCGAGTTTTATGGCAAAGCAATTTTCAAATGCTGGAATTATATTTATTTTTATTTATATTTTGAGTAATAATTTTTTATATCTAAAAATAAAAGTGTAATTGATGTAAGATATTTATATTTCTTCCCAACCAATGAAAACAAAACAGCATACAATTAAATATCGAAACCAGTCCATGTTATTCCACTTTAAAAGTTTCGAAAGCTAAATAAATAGAGAAACGTTAAATTTATAAAGGTTTTCCTACTTTTTTCTTTAACCATTTCTGAATGTGTTAGGAAAACAGCTCTAAAAAAACATAATGATCTTTTTCATTGGGAATTTACTAATACAAACCTAAGAAATATTTGCCATAAAAATATTCATAAGACTTTATATCATCAAATGCTTATTCTCTTTTCTTTTTTTTTCTTTTTTTTCAGCATATACGTTCAATATGTGATGAATTTGAGGAAAAAGGTCTTCCGAACTATCCTCATGGTGTACCTTTCACTTATTGGGAACAGTACTTACATCTACGAACATATTTGAGTTTATCTGTTGTCTGCATCCTTGTAGTCACGTTCCTTGCCATTGCAATCATCCTCATTAATCCTTGGTTAGCTTTTATCATTGTAAGTTTCCATTTTATAATCCTTGTTATTCAATGTTGGTTTAAACTTCAAATTCAAGATCTGTATTAATTAATTCAATCCTGTTTTTTCCCCTGTGGTGGGTGGTGAAGCAGCCTCAACTTGACCCACTTCTCAAAACCACTTTTGGAATCTGTTCTTGGTTTGGTCAAGAAGTTTTCAATAACCCCCTCACCTTCATACATGTGAAATAATTTTGTGCTATTGCAGTCTACCATATATGTTATTTGTATTGTGGTAGACTGCATACAGCAATAACACCAATAATTCTTATTGATTTCCTAAGTCAATTTTTAAAACTAACTTCATTATCAGAATAGACTGAAATAAATGTTTAGCATTCTTTTAAAGAATCTTTAAAATTGTAAAATTCTTACTAAATGTTGTTTGATATGATTATTACTTATGACTTTGAAATATTACAACCTCTGTTGCATGGTTTCTTTCAAAAATTAAGAAGCATTGAGTTCATGCAAGGTTTAAATAAAATTCTAATAAGCCTATTCACTTGTGACTTATCTGTGAAATGTCCTTATTTCAAAAGAAAACTTGTACTGTTAAGCATTTGAAAATTAAATTTACAAAAACAATGTATATCTATTAAAATAGGTTTTAAAACAATCACAATGTCAACCATTGACTGATCAGTGTGTTCCACATTATTCACTCATTCAACCATTTCATTCCTTTCTCTTTGCAGGTACTCATCCTTGCATTTTTAGTATTGCACTTACTTGGTTTCATGGGTCTTGCTGGTATTAAATTAAGTGCAATTCCTGCAGTCACTCTGGTCATTGCTGTTGGTATCGGCATGGAATTTGTTGTACATGTATGTGTGGTAAGTATTGATGTTTTTTCAAGAAACTTCTTTTATCAAATGCAAGAAAACCATTCAGTTGAATATAGATTATGTAACCCAATCAAAATAGATATAAATATTACTATTTTCTATCAAGCATAGTTTCAATAAAGGTACAGTGATAACAAAAAATAAATTTTCAACACCACCTAAAATCACTGATTGCCCAATGAGTTGGAATATTTATTGAACAGAAGTTAAAATACTCAACATTATAAATTCATTGAAATTATTCTAGACTTAGTATTGTATCTATTGTTGTTGATGATTTTAGGTAATGTTTGAAAACTTTTTGCTATCTACTACTGTACAATTTAGATTTTTATAAAAAAAAAAAAATGATTTCAAGTTGTTCTTGTTGCTCTTTGTTAATAATTTAAAAATTTATTGTAAAAAAAAAAAATGATCCCAGGATCTAGTTATTTATAACATTTGTTGTTGGGTGGTGCAATGTGACATTTAATGATACCCCTCCCGAAGTAACATGTGACAAATTGTACTGGATTAAAACAGTACCAAGAGTAAGGAATAGTTACTGACTGGATCTTTTAGAGGAAATGGATATATGCTTTTTCCTTGGGCATTAGTTGGTATTCTCTTTAAACTATCTCTGCTAGTATTTGAACTCTTTTTGCCAATTCCATTTTCTATGTCATTAACCATTAAGCCAAGTCAGCACCTCTTTTGTAAATATTAGTTTTGATAAAATGGTTTATTATTGTGAAAACTTTCTCACCTACTTGTATAATTTCTATGAAACTTATTCTATTGATTTCATGTCTTTACAGGGATTTTTAACTTCTGTTGGTAGTCGTAATAAACGCATGTTGATGTCATTGGAGCATACATTTGCACCTGTTGTTCATGGAGGCATTTCTACACTTCTGGGCATCATCATGTTGATGGGTGCAGAGTTTGATTTCATTATCAAGTAAGTGTCATGTGACATCTTTTTTTAATCTCTCTCTCTCTCTCTCTTTTCTCTCATCAATGTTGTATCTGATATCACTATTGTGGGACTTATTATACTATTAAGTGCCCAATACAAGTATGGCACATGACCAAGTGGTTAAAACGTTCACTTTCCAAACATAAGACCCAATTTCGAATCTCACCATGATTGATTTGTCAGAAAGGGGATTTCTTGATGTTATCAACCTAGGAGATGATCCCAGCATGCGGCACCTTTGGGAAGTGCTTGAAAACCATACTATGGGTTGACACAAACATTGTTAGTGAAATTTGATGAACAGAACTATTTGGGAACTGTTGATGGTTTTGCTAACACTTTGTCACAAGTCATTGTGACAAAGTGTTTGAACCTACTGGCTGTGTTCAGACTTTTGATCACATCAGATAATGCGCTCTCTCCTAGGAACTCTAACCAGGGTTTGCTCAACATAATTGCAGTATAAACCACAGGTGGACTCTGTGAACAAATGCAAATTTACCTGAGCAGATGTCTGCAACAGGGATTGGCTAGGCACCCTAGTAGATAGGTATACTCAGATACAAGCAATCAGTCATTATTAAAAGGAAGCAATCTTAATAATTAGGAGAGCCAGAACATTTTATAATATGCAATAAACGGGATGGGTCTTAAAAAAAAAAGGATCAGAAAATCATTTGACAGATCAAAAGTGAAAAATTAATAAATGGCTCTACAAAAGTCTTCTGTCTACTTGTGGGAATGATGCCAAATTGCTGCATGTCATAAGACTAGATGGTTTCCTACAGGATACTTATACATTGAATAAAAACAATTATAATAAATACATTTGATTTTTAATGCATACACATTTAAAAATATCTTATTTTCCGTTTGTTTGTCTATGGGACTAATGACAAGCATTCCTTTTATTATAAGAAGAATATAAAAGTTTTGTACAATATTTTTTAAGAATAAATGTGACATTTCCATAGCATCATCAAGAAAGTTTATTACATGGGCAATTTTCTCATCCCTATCTGATGGACTATTCTGCTTATTTAGAAAATTGTTGCACCCCCAAAGATTCACTAAAATTGAGTATACATAATGAAAAAATACCCTAAACTTAATAAAAACAAAGTTTCATTGTCAAAATCTTGTTATTATAAGGAAAAATCCAAAGGATTTTTTGATTATTAAATTAAATTTTTTTATATTTTCTAGAACCTTCAAAAATTTGGTTAAAAATTTGTTTCTTGTGTCAACAAGTGATCATAAATTAATGACAAATTTGAGTGTCCTTTTGCAGTGTTAAACATATTGAAATTCTTGCAAAAATCAGATAATTGTCTGATTTTAATTAAGCTTTCAGGGCTTATTCGCAATTGAATGAAATTGTTTTAGAAATGTTTTTTTAGAAAATCTTGGTAAATTTTTTTTTTTTTTTTACATCTGTTACTGCTCTCTTATTTAATTTTATGAAATTGTTTTAGAAATTTATTTTTGTGACACCTAATGTTTATATTAGTTATAAGAACAAGTCCTTGGAGAATTTAAATAAATTTTTTTTTTTTGTTAAACAGAACCCCCAGTTACAGAAAATCTGCTCTGAATTATAAAATAAAAAATGCAATAAGATTAAGACATTATGTAATTAGAAAAGTTTTTAATTGATTTTAGGAATATATTATGAACAGTATTGTCTTAAGAAAAAAAAAAATTTTCAATGAATAATGAATTTTTACAAGAATTGCTTACTTTTTTTTATTTTAATTAATACTTTATAAAGTTTTAAATCTTTTAAAATTCTGTATTAATTTATAACAGTTGATGTTGTCATAAAGGAAAACTATATTTACTAATCATAAATGGAAAAGCTTACTACAATTCAATGACCTCCACCCCAGTATTTTAAAAAGAATTTTGAATTTTTTGCGTGTGCACATATAAATATGCTGATTCTTATAAATACAGATGTCCATACACAACATTTCCTCTACAAGCATTTTGAAGACCTAAAATTCAATAAAGATATTAGATTACCTAGAATATATTTTTTTATTTTTTAAGATTACTCAGTAGTTAAAAAATTGTATAAAAAAGGCATTTACATTATATTCAAGTAATTTTTACAGTTATGTTCTTCCTTAGAAAAAAATAACCAAACAAAAGTGTAAGTAGAAAGTTGTCAACACTTCATAAAAACATCCACCTCCATATTAAAAAATGCTTTTTTGTGATATTTTTTAAATTAAAAGTAATATTTGTTTCCAATTAGATTAATTGAACTTTAAATCCACTAATCTTCCTCAAAGTTCAAGAAAAGTATATTTTATTTTGGAAAGATTTTTTAATAGATAGAATTACAATGTATTGGCAAATTTGTCAATATGGATTTTTTTTTTTATACTAATAAAAAAAAAAAAAGCAATTAGGTTTTGTAAATAAATTGTTGAATTGTATCTGTGTCTCTTCTGAGAATTTGATAAATGTGTGTGGTTTTATTCACTTAACTGAATCCCAGAAAAGTTATTGCATGTATTTGTATACTGGATTTTAAAAAAAAAGTTTGTAATGCTGAAAATTAAGTCTGTCTCTGTGTGTATTTGTACAAGTGTCTTTTGCTATGTGTTTTAGCAAAATTGGTGTTTAAGAGTTTGCTGCTTCTTTCTTACTTGCCTGTGTATGTGTAATCAAGAGAGTTGAATTTGGAGTAGCAAGAAAGAAACCAGTGTGTGTGCTATTGTAAAAGGGTTGGTTTAGATAGGTCAAGAAATAAATCTTTTAATGTGAATACATTTGTGTGAGAGTAAGGGATGAGGGAGTAAGGGAGGCATGAAAGAAAGATATGGAAGAGTCAGGTTGGCTGGCCAGACCACCCATATTGCAACAGCCTGGTGACACTTGTGTCAGTACACCCACTTTTTTTTTCTCTCATTCTCTCCCAACCTAACCTAGGGATCTGCCAAAAGAAGAAAAAAAAAGCTGTAAACATCCTCAGTCTCCACACCCACTCTCTACCCGACCTTAAAACTCCTTTGTTAGCCTTTACTAGTCTCATTGGTGTCAGAATACAAAAAAAAGTTTAAATACAAGCCAAAAAGCATCAAAAGTTAATGACTGACTGGACAGCCTAATTTTATTTAGGCTAAAGAAAGCAAATTTTAGTAGAAAAATATCAGTTAAATAAATTTAGGAAAAAGAAAAATTAACCCAAAACAGTCCTTATTTTGGGAGGGTGTAACAGAAAATATTTAATACCACAGGAAGTCCATCTTGAATTTTTTTTTTTTTTTTTTCTTCAAAGTCCTGAATTTTTGGTGGAGTTTACCAGTAGGCACTGAGACCGGAAATCTTTTCTTTAAAAAAAATTATAAAATTTAATAGGGGGTCCGGTTTGCTATGTAAATTAATTGTAAATTAATTGAAAGCCAAACTCAAGAAATATGCCATATGATTTCTTATATATTAAAAAAAAAAAAAGTAAATAAAATTTAGAAATTAATTAATAATTTTTTTTTTTTTTTTTTTTTTTTTTTTCCTCCATATATTACTGTCAATTAAGCAGTCTGGAATTACAAATTTAAAAAAAAAGAAATTTTTTTTTTTTTATTTTACATTTTAACTTTTAAGAAATTGCAGTCTGTGAATACTTTTTTTTTTTGGTTTTTTACTTCCATAAATTGATTTACATTTTACAAATAATTTACATAGCAAACTAGACTCACCGCCATGCTTCTATAAAATTTAATAATTTTATTTAATATTTGTGATTAAATGATTCATTAATCTGTAGTAATAAGGAAAATTTAAATAATTTAGACTCTTTTTTGTTGCAGTGCCTATTAACTCCAAGTTTTTATGTACATTTTTAAATGATCTTTTTAAAACTGTATTGTCATGTAAATATTTATCAATATTGTTACATATTTATTTGTATTGCCTTATGAAAAATTAAAAAAAATTCACTTTTTCAAATAAATATTTTCATTGATACTTTTAAAAAAATTAAGACAATTTATTTGGCACTTAAAAAAGATACAAAGAAAAATGACCCAAATAGAAATCCTTCCAACTGTTAGAAAAAGAGCCAGCCTTGGAGAATTGTCAAGGGAATACTTACTCTTCCAATTAGAGAAAATTAGGTTTTTATGGGTTCAGTGGAAAACCAAGGGTTCTGACAAATCTTTCAGTCTCCACTGTAGGCTAAGATCTCAGCAGGGAGTGGCACATCTGTGCTTTTTGGAGACCACACAGTATGCTAAGATTTGACCCTGGTTTGCCCTTACTTGCACCTGGGAGGTGAACAACAGACACAGACCTCTTTATCATTTTGGAATATTTTTATCCCTCAAGCTGAGCACTGGGCCATGAAGGACATTTTTTTTTCTTAGTACATCATAGAATTAATTTAATACTTCCTCCCAAGTTTTTTTTTCTCCCTAAAGGAGGGAAAACACAAGTTTTCAAAGCTTACTCTTATAATCATAATTATAGAGCTTAAATAAAGCCTAAGGGTTGTACTATAATAAAACACAGTTTTTCAGCAAATATGTACAATGGAAATAATTATAATGTTACAATGCCAATTGACTACAGCACAATACAAAAGAAAACTAACAAAATAAAATAATACACTGAACCTTCAGAATAAGAAAGAGGAAGTGTGTCATTTAAATAAGAACAAAGCTATAACAATTATGAAAAGAACAACAGGTGTGAAAGGCACCCAAGATTTTGGTGCAAATTACTATATTGCTAAAAAAAAAAATCTGTTTCCAGAAACTCTAAGCCATTTAGTTGGCTTAAATTGGAATTTCTCAAATACAAATGTGCAGGTCAATGGTCGTAATACACAGTTTAAAGTAAAAATAAAAATTATCTGCTATAATTAATGTTTGAAGTAATAAAAATGTTGGATTAAAAATAAATCTATTAATTCTTTAGAAATTGATGTTATTCCAAGTGTTTAAAATTAAAATCCACTGAAAGAGTACTTTATTTATATTAGTAATAGTATGAATTTTAATTTGTATCACAAAACTTATAAGAAAATGCTCATAAATATTTACATAATAGGAGAATCTTCCACTGTTTGGTTATTAATTATAAAGCGTTCTTCAGTTATGGGTCTAATAATAAATTTAAATTCTATTCCTATTCAACCAGTCTTAATTTAGTATGTGGAAAACATTGCAATTTAAGAACAAAATTGAAATATTTTACAAACTTTTGAAATACTTTAAAAAAAAAAAAGGCAAAATAAATAATTAATTCTTTTCTTCTTTTTAACAATTATCAATGGAATGTTCAGGTAATACAAGAGGCAGTGGCATGTAAGAGGAATCTGCATTTTAAATTCTAATCAAGTCTGTTTCACTCATTTTTGCACTAATGCCTTTGGGAAAGGCACAAAAATCCATAGTCTTCCACCTGTGTCTCTTTAGGTAGGGCAACCAGTGTGGGACAACTCTGAATTCAAAACCAGCATGAAGAAGGATGGGCTCCGTCAGGCTATTTTTTCCTTAGACACACCCACTACTGCCATAGTACGCTTGGTGCCTCTATTATGTTTTTGAGTTATCAAAAAGTAGGGCATTTTTTAATAAAGTAAGGCTATTTGAGTTACTCTCTATATTTGATTGATTAGAAAGAAAAAAAAAATAATTTGTGTGCATTTCTGTATATGTACAATATTGAGCATCTCTTTTTTTATCTGTATATAAATGGTTTCAAAGCATTTATTTACACAGGCCATCTTTTAGTTCTGTTTTCTTAAGGTTTTAAAGAATGTGTCAGTTGTCCTGGGAATAAGCAAATCTTCTTTGAGGTCAGACTAAAAAACTCTGTTGCCCTCACCCCACCATATTCTGCTTCTTTCACCTAACCCTCAAAATCTACCATGTGGAACTCCTGAGTTTTCTTGGAGAAGTGCTAAAAAGGCTAGCAAGCTAAATGTGTGTGGCCTACCAATCCAGGATGAGATATCTCTGTACTGTTCTTCTCTTTCTTCTCCCTTTTCCCCTCATACACACATATTCCTTTCTTACTCCCACCCCATCATTTTTGTTCCCCTTCCTTGAAAGTTTACTCTGATTACATTACCCATTTTTTCTAAATCTCAGTGTTAAAGAATTTTCAGTCTTTTATTTAAAAAACAAAAAAAATGTTATGTTGATGGTTATGACTGCACATACTATGTGGAGATTTTATTTTATTTTTTCAGTAATTCAAATGCATTATTTTAAACGGTTTGCCAGATGTTTGGGTGGTAGATCAAAATTTATTAAATGTGCATTTTTATTTATTGGAAAAATAATTCTCAAACAAAATTTTTTTTTTTTTTTTTATAATGTCTAATGAAATTTCAAGAAAAAGAAATATTTTCACTAATCGATTTCTTGAACATTTGTAAAATCGTAACTTACCGATAAGAAAAAAGAGAAAAAGAGGAAAGAAAAAAGATTTTTAAAGTAATGTTTAATTAAGTGTCTGCTCTAATTAAATAACTACGTACGTAGTAGTGGCCCAAAAATTATTAGCAATTTAGAAACAGGAAATAAATCCTATTCAGAACAACCTTACCCACGTGGATAGTCTGTGACACATGGTCAGTTTAAGGTGTGGGCTTACACGCGTGTGTGTGGGCAGGAACCACCACAAAAAAAAAACTCTCATCTTTATATGTTTATTTTTTCTTATTTTGCTCTATTGTTACCGCCCTGCTCTGAATTAAGCTCCACCCCTTATTTTCCATGCTTCTTCCGGTTTTTCCACTCGTAATATCAGCCTACTACTTTTTTTTTTTTTTTTGGCCAGCTCTCTTAATTTCTTTAGTTAGTCCCTTGCTGAGTTGCCGTCAGAATTCGTGTTACAGTCGTTGGAACAATTTTATTTTAAACTGTTGAAGTTTATTTTTTGTTTGTTTCTTCTAAAGTTTTTTGTTAGGTAATAAAAACATTAACAGAGAAAAATAATCTCTGTTTAAAATAAATACATGAAATAAACGATAAAATCAACTGAGTAACTGTCTGGAAGTCTTAAATTTTTTTTATTGTCATTTATCTCTGGATACGCCATGCATGCGACCTACATGGGATCATTTGAATTGAACTTTGATTATTGCAATGTATGTATGTCCTTTAAACACACTTTTAACGTCTTAAATATTTTATTATGGTCGTTGTTTATATGCTTTTATATATATATATTTTTTTTTTTCACAGGTATATTTTTAATGTTTTACTTGTATTGGTTCTACTTGGCCTTCTCAACGGGTTGTGGTTCTTGCCTGTAATTTTGTCTATGGCCGGCCCACCAGGGGAGGTAAGTCATTGTCTAACTCTTCTATTTAGAAACTAAGAAATGAATCACCTTACCCAAACAACAATTAATTCAGGTATTAATTAAGACATTGGATATTATTGTTGGTTTAAAAATGTAAATAAATTAAAAACTGGAATAAGATATGATCCAATTAAGAAAATTATGGGAAAAATTATTGTACCTTCAAGTAATGTCTACTTAATGATAATATTACTTTATTAAAAAAAAGGTAATCTAAAATATACCTTGGCATTTATTTTTTTATTTTGTATTCACAAATAGTTTAGTTTTGAAAAATTAATAGTTTACTATTCCCTATGTCCTATTATCATCATTATATTTTTCCTCCCCTCAGATTATACCTAAGGACAATGGAGACATGATTGAGGCACCAACACCAGAACCATCTCCACGTCCTCGGGAGAGACCTGTGCGCTCTGTCAGTCGACATATATACCCACGGATGCCATCTGACATATCACTTAGCACCATTACAGAGGAGCCCACACAATACTCTTCACATGAAATTATTGTACAACCAGAAGTTGTTGTAGAAACCACAACAGTTCCTGTGACACGAAAAGAATCTAGTGAAAGTGTAAGTATCATAAACTTTTTCCTTAGAAAATACATTCCCCCCTTTAAATCTAATTGCATCTTCTAAATTTGTCAGCAAAGTTTAATATACATACACACAAAAAAGTGTCAAAAAGATATATTTTTTTTCTCTTGACACTGTTTTTACTGTGGCAAACTTTATTGATTTAAAAAGTTATTTTTGAAATTTTAATAAAACCAAAATATATGAAACTGGATTTATGCATTCTCTTTTATCTCAAGAATTGGCAATGTCCATTGTCATCATTGTTCCCTTGAGCATGTATACAGCAACTTCTCAAAGGGTAGCAACAAATTCTATATTACATTCAGTTGTGTGTGATTCAATTACCCAAACTTTAGGCTATCATCTCATATATAAAATATGAGGTAGACTGAAGTGAAACATTGAATTAGAATAACAATAAAAATTCTAGAATTTATTCCCCACAAAAATATAAATAATATCTTAATATTTCAGATAAAATATTACCACTTGTATTTTTTAATGTGGATTTAGATCAAATTTTTATTACCATCTTTAAAATGTCAAATGCTTTAGGAATGATAGTTATTAATGCAATTATCAATTTTTTTTTTCTTTTTGTTAATAAATATTAACATTCAATAAATTTAATCATTATAAATTTATATTTAAGGAAATGATGCTTTTTTTTCTTGGATTTTTCTTTTGTTCTGGTATTTTGAAATTCTATAAACAGAATTTGTAAATTTTGTTTAAATATATTTTTGTGGGAAAAAATTAATAGAAATGATGGAATATTGAATTAGCAGCCATATTTGGAATATTTTGGTTGAAATGCCTTATTACAGAAAACTGAATTTCTTTTTTTTATTCATTAAATAAAGAATTTGACACTGATAGCCTTAAAAACACCAGGAAAATATTTAGAATGACATGCTATAAATATTATTAGTCATGCTGAATCTGATACAAATGGATTCATTAACAAATCCACAGGACAATTGTAACTTAACATAAAAAATGTGTGTGTTTGTAAACATTTTAAATGTTAAGCATTGTAATTTTAAAAAATAAGATCTGAGTTTAAATTAAAAGTTCAAAGAAACAGACACTGAAATAAATTTATCAGATACCCTATTCTTGTGTCTCTACTTGTACCAAATATATAAGGTTTTAAATCTCGATTTTTAAAATTATTTTTACTTATCCTTTTCAGAATTCCCCCCATGGTACACCTCCTGTGAAACATGTGACCCGAGTAAAGGCAACAGCAACAGTCAAAGTAGAAGTACACACACCTTTACCAGGTTAGTATACAATACTGTTGATACAACATTGCTATCTATATAGTCTCTTATTTATTTCATAACATTTTTATGATGTAGTCAATCCATTTAAAACAAAAATGTGCATGCTACCAAATATAGTTCTTCTGAAATTTTGAGAATGTTGCATTTTTACTTAAAATAATTAAGATGAATGTTATGTTTATTTTCTCAGTAATGTTTGTGACAGTAAAATATAATCATTAATTTACATCCCTGGGTGGTCTTCTTTGTCACATAACCACATCGCTATCGTTTCACTTAAAAAATTTCTGATAACTAATTTCCTGAAGACTATTCTTTCTATAAGACTGCAACAGTGATAGCAGTGGTGAATGTCTTTATGTAAACAAGCCATACAGCCCCATTAGCTTTGCCTGAATATTTTGGAAAACCATTCTCTCCAAAATTATTCTGCCTAAGAACTTCAACCAATCCAATGGATAGGTCTTTATGCAAGCAACTTAGTCTCAAGAGATTTTAGAAATAATTTTTGATTTTGGCTGTAGAAGTCATTTATGTAGTAGTCATCATTTTTAATTTGGTGAGTCCTGCAAGTGGATACACAACTGTACCCAGATATACTAAGTTATCACTAAATTAATATTCCAGTTCAATTCCTTAAAAATTCTTCAACCCATCTAATTTTTTTTAGAATTAATGAACTTTCTTAATCCTAATTCTTGTTTTTTTTTTACATTTAATTCGAATAACCATCAAATGCAATGAAGTATTCTCATGCATTTTTCTCCTTGATTCTATACAATAAAACCAATCTTTTCTGCATTTAACTATCTGTTGGCTACTATCAAGCCTATCTGAAGTTCTATACTTCCCCACACAAAATAGTTACTACTTACCTTATTTATATATTTTGTGCCTATGCATATCTTGAAATTAAAATCATAAACTCATTTTGTTTCATTAAAAAAAAATCTGCTTTTTTTCTTTTTTTTTTTTTTCATTTCTCAAATGTACCTAATTTCTCATTCTTTTTCATTTCTACTTTCAGGTGCTGTAGAACAAGAACACAGTTACAAAAGCAAAAGACGAAAGTTGAAAGAGTTAGATAGCTCAGACTCAGATGGCAGCAAATGAGGTAATTCTATCATTGCTTTTACTTTTTTTTTATACCTACTTTGTTCAATGGACTAAACAATATTGAGTAGCTAGTTCTATTTAAAGAAAAATGTCTTTTTATTTTTTATCAATCAAGGATAATACTTATTTAGTTTGGTTCTTTACTTCATGTTCTAGACACACAGGATACTTCAACAATATTATATATATATATATATATATATAATATTTGCAGTTCAATGAAGGCAATTCTGAACAGTATACATGTAGATAATCTATATTTGTGACAATTTTTGTCAGTATTGTGAAATGTAAATATATTTTTTCTCTCTTCTCAGTTAAGCAAAAATTACCTCAAATGATTTCTGCAATTAGCTTGTTCATCTTGGACGAGTGTAAATGTTAAAATATATAAGTTCATAAAAGCAGACAATTATACAAATATGCTCTTAAAAATCAGTCACACAGTAATCATAATAGAAAATCTTTAATGTTTTATTCTGGTGATGTTCAAAAAAAATTTTATATATCATTTCATCAGTAAATGTTCAATGGATTTATCTCATTGACCAACTCTAGAGTTTCATATAATACTGATCATCAGGGTCAGATGGTCTAATGATTCTGTTGATATACCAGATATCATATTTATATTCCACAAAAAATAAACCCTAACCATAGGTTTCAAATTTCAAGTACATACTTACACAAGAGTCTGTTTTTTATTTATATATATATATTTTATTACTTCAAACATTATTGCTAGAGGATACCCGTGTTTG